CACTAGTGGTGCAAGTCTATCAGGTACAAAATGCCAAGGCTATATTGGGATTCTAGCCAATAGGTTATGCACAACAAAAAGATTAATAAACGATAACAAGATGCAGATGTGTTAGAAGATCAGATGGTAACACTCAAGTAAAGTGGGGCTCTGTTATAAAGATTAAATTGGGGTGAGGGAAAACACACACTCCCTTTTTTTCTTTTTTCTTTTTGGGAATCATTACTTCTGAATGATCCTTGCAGGTGCAGCTAGAAACAGAGCATCCCAAAGCAGGCATGTGGATAGAAGCAAAGTCTCTATTTTGCAAGGGCAGAGCATGTTTTGCTAGAACTCTTACACCAAGGCAGGTCAGTTGGGTTATTATTAGCTCTGACACTCCCTCAAGTTGACATTCGTTACTTGTGGTCCAATAGTAAAAGTGTAAAATCTTCATTCTCTTAAAAACACCAAATGAATTTATAGTTGGATCCTGAAACACCGCTCTGTCTCTGCCCTTACTCATCAGAATAAATAAGGGGTAAACAAACAAGCACAAGAGGGAAATGGAAAGTTTGGACTGTGAGATCATTTTCCAGAATAAGATTTGATATGTAAAGCCAAATTCCCAAAGCAAATCCTAAATGGTAAGCAGTACAACTGACTTCTACTTGTATCTTTAATAGTATGTTTATTTTAGGGGATCAGTTTAAAGCATTATCTGAATTGATAATAGATCACTCATCTCTCATTGTAGTTTTTAATTACTGTACATAAGCAATTTGTGCTGTTGCATTCTGCAACTGAAATAAAAGTTAGTGGAAGCCACAGGTGCTCAACACCTCTGAAAATCATGATCTAGGTAGCTCAGACTGAGCATTCAAATATAGTGGATACATTTAAAAAGAAAATCTCTGGCCAAATTGATATGACCAAAGGGAATATGGCAGTGCTGGGCCTAGAACCAATTTTCTCAGCTTCCATACCTAATACAACAGGCTGTCTTGCCTCAAATCCGTAACAATCATCCACATTCTAGGACCTATTCCTGCTTCCAGTAGGTTCACTGCTAGCTAGATGTCCAAAACTATAATATTTGAGCACAGTGTTATGGAAAAGTCCTACATAATTTTATTAGTTCCATCCTTCTTAGTACTGTAGAAATTATTCCATCTACACAATTTAATAGAAAACAACTTTTTCCTGAGGTGGTTTTTTTTTTGGAACCCTCCAATAAAACTCTATAGCAGAGATACAATTTTTCAATTAAATGCTATAGGCTGGCAAAAATAAAACTATAGAGAAATTCTCTTTTTTTATTACATTAGATGGGAAAAAGCTAAGTACTAGTGATGGCAGAATCCTTCCTCCACAAACCATCTAAGATAATTATTCTTTTATGTAGTGGCATTTTTATTATGTAATATGCATGTCACTTTATAGACAAACTTTAAAAAAGTTCCTAGTCCCCAGAAGCTTACAGTGTGAATTTGTTGGCGAACATAATGAGAAATTATGACACACCACAGAGGCAGGGGGGTGAACAGAGTTGCGGTGCGGGTGGTGATATTATCATCTCCATCTTACAAACTGTGGAAATGAGTCACAAAGAGGTTAAGTAACATGCCTGCTCCAAATGGCACCAAGTCTGGGACAGAGGAACTCAGATCTCACAAAATTCCGTGCTTTTGTCCTATACAAATTCTTTCCCTTCCACTATAAATAAATTGTTTCCCAAAACATAGGTGACTGGAACTCTTTTGCTTGCTCTTTATTTAATTAAAAAAAAAAAGGAAAGTTATGATCCTGTTTGGCGAGAGGCAAAACATTGACTTGCTCAAGGGTGTGTCTGCAGTTGGATGCCAAAGAGAAAATTAGCCACAAAAGAGCAAAGTTCAGTTTTTGTTCTCCTGCAAACTTTATACTGGTCTTAATTATTCCAAAGGAAGGGTGTTTCCAGGACATTCAATATCCTTATCTGTATGAGATGTCTCGTTGTGTGTCTCTCTCTTCCCCCTGCAAAGCTAGAGCACTTAGGAGAGGCTTTGGCTATTGTTCCACCTCCCAACTGTAATTTCAAGAAGACAGGGTGTGCTGGCTAGTAGGCAGAGAGAGGTAATTTGCTTCATAGTGCATGCTTATTCAAAAATGTGTAAAATGCAACCAATGCAACTTTGCTGGGTGCCTGTATGATATTTAACATAGATAACTCTTAAAAACAAAAGACTTTTACCTAACCCCTCAAATTACATTACACACCAACTTATCCAACTTCATCCTACCCCATAGACCAGTGGTCTCCAAACTTTTTTGATTGCGCACCCCATCAGTAAAAAAAAATTGAGCATGCACCCCCTGCCGCTGGCTCTACCATTTTTACCGAAGTGCAAAAAAAAAAAAGCAAAACCACTCAGACTCCCGCCCGAACTGACGAAGCAAAATAAAAGCGCTCCTCCTCCTTCCGTGCACCCCCAAGGATCCTCTTGCGCACCCCACTTTGGAGACCATTGCCATGGACAAACATCAGAGAAAAGAGGCTGATAAACTTTCCACCAGGCCATAACACTAACAGACAGTTTGAGTAGTTGGAGGGTGGAGGTAAGAAGATACAGTGGTTGGGGGCCATCTATGGAGAACATATTTTCCCTAGGAGATCTCAACAATGGCAATACCATGGGGGAGTGAGTCTCCCAAAGAGACAGGGCTCAAACCACACAGGATGTTGAAGATCAAAGCAGGCATCCTGAATTGCACTTGGAAATTAACAGGTAGTCAGTGCAGTTTTTAGAGAAATGGTGTAATAGATTTTTCAGTATCTACCACCACCAAACCTGTAAGCAGTCAGATTCTGCATTAGTAGCTCTAGAATGGTCTCTAAGGAGAGGCCTACAATAGAGCACATTGTAAAGGAAGGGTCACAGATGATAAAAAGCTCTTTCTGGGATATCCTGGGAAGCTGGGCACTCTCTAAATGTGGATCTCTTGGGCAAATGGTAGCCAAAGCCTCTCGATAAGAGGGATAAAAATTCACCTCACTTCTCATGCTCTTGGTAAAGGCTGCCCTAGTACTGCATACTGCAGAGTCCATACATTACACGGCAAGGGGGCTGATATGGCATAGCAAGAGAAGATACAAATAGAGTATAACATTAAATATGGGTCCCTCTTCTGCATTCTCAGAGTCAGATTTCTACTCTGCCTCTCTGTCAGTACAAAGGAACCATAAAGCCAGTGGATTTGGCTAGCTAAGAACTCCTGTGTATGGGACATTGTTGAGGAAAAGAGTACATGGACAGAATGTCCCTGTGCTCAGGTGATCCCCAACTGGTATAATGGTCCTTTGTGGCTGCAGCCAAGTGGCACAATTTAGAGTGTAATCAATAAGGCCTGTGCCATAACAGTGCATGACAAAGATAAAAAAAATTCTTGAGTGGCCACCTCATTCAGTAAGTACTGTTCATCCTGACTGCTGAATGAGGCTGTGTCTCTGTGGAAAAATTAGTACATGAACATGTAAGTATAAGACTACACAAGGAGACCACATGCCCATGCCACTTTGATTCTGGCATTGTCTAACTTTTGAGAGATTGACTTTAGTCTCAGGCCTTGATTCTTCAAAGACTCAGGTACATGCTTAATGTTATGGACTGTGAGCAGTACCATTGAGCTCACAGTGGCTTTGTTTTGGGAATATTCACAGTGTATAACATTAAGCATGTGCAAAAGTCATTGAAGGATCAGGGCCTTACTTAGTAACATTATTTTCACTTATTGTGTGTGTGTGTAATAATAAATATACTGAGATCAGTCAAGCAAAATAATGTTTTCCCTTTTCCCTATTTTTAAATGTATTGCTCAGCTGTAGCTATTTTGGGAGTGGTCATGTAGCTTGCATCCTCTGTAGTACACACACACAAACCCAATAGTAATAGCTAGTAACAATAAAAAAAAACCAGGCAGTGGTTACAAAAGAATAACAATAAAATAGAAATAGGCAGTGATTGGCTGAAAAATGGTTAGAACAGTGTTACACTGTTAATATTTCATCTTTTTGTTTTCCCATCCTCATCCTCTTTCCCTCCTGTTGTTTGTTATACTTACTTGTTGCACCTTGTCTTAAACTAGACTACAAACTCTTTGAGTCAATAATTGTGTCTTTTTATGTTTGTACATTGCCTAGGACAGTTGGATACCTATCCTGAATGGGGTCTATAGGCTGTACCTAAATAGAAACATCAGTAGTAGCGAGGTCCTGAATGCGACACTCTTTCTTGAGCGAAGGGAGGCAGTGTCACAACCTGGAGCCTCTGTGGGCTGCATCTCTTTATTAAAGATGAGTTTAGGTGCAACAATCTGCTCCATTTTATATAAATTAAGGGTAACCCTTGAGGCTCCCATCCAAACTGCTAACATGGCTCTCGTATGAAAAGTTTTGGTGCCCCTGTGGCTATGTAGAAGGCTATGAAGGGCGTGATTTATTTGGCAGAAAGTTCACTGTGCATTCAGTTATGACCGGCCAGGCAGTAGCACTCAGCTTGCAATGGGGTATTGCACACACAAACCCGTATTGAGATACAGCCATTGTTCAGATCAAGATGGGTGATGACACATCAGTACCTAGGGCAGAATTTAGATTGAGATGGGGCACAGCATGTTGGAGAGCTGTAGCAATGCCCCGGGAGAGAAGGGGATGTTCCATACCTGCCACCATTTGAATGGTGTAATCAGGGACATGGGGGGGGGGGGGAGAAAGGCAGGGCACCCCTTTGTACAGTACTCCACTGAAATGTGTTGAGCTGGAGAGCACTGAGAATAACATAATAGAAACAGAAAATTCCTGCCTTAGCACAGTTTGCATGGGTGCTGCACAGAGGACTTCTAGGTTCTCAATGCATACCCAGATCCAGGCTCCACCTTTGCCAACCCCATATGTGGGCCTCCCTCAAAGCAGCCCCAGAGGGAATCATAGAAGATTAGGGTTGGAAGAGGCCTCAGGAGGTCATCTAGTCCAACCCCCTGCTCAAAGCAGGACCAACCCCAACTAAATCAGAGTTTCCCTCTGGGGTGGTGGGAAGTGAGGGGAGATTCCTCAGGGGCTAGAAGACTCCCCAGGCAGTCCTGGAGGGAAGGGGAGTAGATCCCCCATGACAGCCCCGGGAGGGGAACAGTGGATCCCCGTTCCAGCCGGGGGTGGGGCAGTGGATCCCCCATTGCAGCCCCGGAGTGGGCACTGGATCCCCCATGCCAGCCCCGGTCACCCTGCCCCAGGAGGGGGGCAGTGGATCCCACATGCCCGTCCGGGCTGGGTCTCCGGAGGAGGTGGGGGAGGGGTTGCCTTGCCCGTGCGGGGAAAGGGGGCGGCCTCCGCGGGCGGCGGTTCGATTGCTCGGCGCTCCCCGGCCTGGCGGGTGGATGGTATCTGGCTCGGCGCGCGGCCTGGCGGGGTCGGAAGCAGCCGCTGGCCTGTCCCTGTGCCCGCGGGGAGTGTCGGCGTCTGGGCTGCGGCGGGGCTCAGTCCGTCCGGGGCCGCGATGGTTTAAAGGCCCCGGGCCAGCCACGCATCCGGCGGCAGCCATGAACCTGCTGCCGGCCAACCCGCACGGCAACGGGCTGCTGTACGCCGGCTTCAACCAGGACCACGGTGAGGGGCCGGAGGGAGCGGGGAGCTGCAGCCGAACCAGGGGAATCGGGTGTGGGGGCATCTTAGCAGTAGGTTGGGTTCCTGTGGGGTTTGTCGGGGAGCGGCGGGGCCGCGGGTGCGGGGGAGGTGTCTGGGAGCGGCGGGGCCGCGGGTGCGGGGAGGGAGGGGAAGTGTCTGGGAGTGAGGGGACGGCGGGGCCGCGGGTGCGGGGAGGGA